AGCATTTTCCCTCTGCCATGCAAGGCCGATTCACCGGATGGGGACCCTATTTCATATAAATGGTTATTCAATGATGCACTCTTAACGTACGATAGTYACAGGGAATGGMAAGCATACGMTCATGAGCTACAGCTTCGAAATCTAAAAACAATACACTCTGGTAATTATACATGTGTAGCGTACACCACTGGAGAAAGGATATCGGAAGCTTCAGTAAGCACAAACGTCAATATAAAGGGTAAGACTATTGAGGTATATAGACGAAGCGAGTCTAGCGGGGGGCGTTTGCGTTTCTCTTCATATCCACAAGTTTCCCTCATGAATGAATAAATGATTTTTTTGGCGCCGAAATTCAAGTGCAAAGTGGTAACCTGTCAAATCCAAAGAAAAACTATTAACTACCATTTGTCAAATCGGTTGCATTGTTTCATTCTTGTCATGCATTCTATTTTTTAAGAAAAACTAAAGATTGTCAATAGGCCGGTTAATACAACTCTAAAGGTCGTCGAAGGTTCCTCCTTGAGTCTGCCATGCAAGGCCAATTATCCAGACGACGACGGCAAAGTTAAGTACAGTTGGTCCTTCAATTGGGAAGAAATAGATTATGACAATCACATTGAATGGCGGGCAAGCGATTATAAGCTATTGATTAAATCTGCACAAGTAAAAGATTCTGGCATCTATTCATGTTATGTCACAGCCTATAGCTTGGGTTTCGGCGCGGTTTATATTGACATTGACATCACGATATATGGTAAGTAAAACTACCCCTTGTATGAAGATTAACTTTAACCTTCTTTTTTGCTAACGCGTTCGAAACGTCAGTACATCTCAAAACATTTTAGCACGGTTTTTAAGTTCCTTTCATATTACAGAGCYGTTTTCGTAACTACTTCTCAGGATTTTAAAACTGACCCTTAGTATTGGTCTGGCCGAGGCTTGATCCACAACCTTCCTAATAACAATCCAATGCTCAATCAACTGATCATGCTGAGCCAACAAAGACTCTTTTTATATTTTCAGAGGGAATAACGATTGTCAAGAAGCCATATAGCCAATATAATGTCCAAGAGGATAGCATTTTCCCTCTGCCATGCAAAGCCGATTCACCGGATGGGGACCCTATTTCATATAAATGGTTACTCAATGATGCACTATTAACGTACGATAGTCACAGGGAATGGAAAGAACACATCCATGAGCTACAGCTTCGAAATCTAAAAACGATACACTCTGGTAATTATACATGTGTGGCGTACACCACTGGAGAAAGGGTATCGGAAGATTCAGTAAGCACAAACATCAATATAAAGGGTAAGACTATTGAGGTATATAGGGGAAGCGAGTCTAGCGGGGGGCGTTTGCGTTTCTCTTATGATACCCACAAGTTTCCCTCATGAATGAATAAATGAATTTTTTCGCGCCGAGATTCACTGAAGTGCAAAGTGTTAACCTGTCAAATCCAAAGAAAAACTATTAACTACCATTTGTCAAATCTGTTGCATTGTTTCATTCTTGTCATGCATTTTATTTTATAATCATAAAGTAAAAATTCAATATTTTTATATTTCAGAAGTCATTATTTTTATTTTTCAGAAAAACTAAAGATTGTCAATAGGCCGGTAAATGCAACTCTAAAAGTCATCGAAGGTTCCTCCTTGAGTCTGCCATGCAAGGCCAATTATCCAGACGACGACGGCAAAGTTCAGTACAGTTGGTACTTGAATTGGGTAGACATAAATTATGACAATCACACTGAATGGCGGGCAAGCGATTATGAGCTATTAATTAAATCTACACAAGTAAAAGATTCTGGCATCTATACTTGCAATGTCTCAGCTATAAGCTTGGGTTTGGGCACGGTTTCAATGGACATTGACATCACGATATATGGTAAGCCGGAAAGACTACCTCTTGTATGAATGATCTACTTTAACCTTCTGTTTTGCTAACGTTCGAAACGTCAGTACAGCTTAAAACATTTGTTACACAGTTTTAGAAGTTCCCCTCTTGGAGCAGTTTTTGTATGACTGTGAAAAATTCGCTACCGAATGCTTGCCTTTCCGCGACCGTGATGTTTTTTTAAAAATTTTAATTGGGAGGATTTTTTCTCTCGCAATGCGATTGGTCTATCATTGCCATGACCCTGGCGTGACCTTGTCCTCGCCGTGTTCACACCGTGTTTCGCATGGTCTTTTCATTGGATGGCGACTAAATTCTCTTGTAATGTGATAGGGGTGGCGTATGCCTTGTCGTGTCACGTCCGTGTTCGTGCTGTGATATTTACAAAGTCGTACGAAATCTGCTTTATTTGTACGATTTGTTGTATTCGACACACCAATTCAGTCCCAAACAGCTAGCCATTAGTTTATCTGTCTGTATATTGATTCATGCACTGAACATTTTGGAGTTTTAAATTACCGCTGTGTTCCTTAATTGCAGACTCGTTTACTCAGGGTTAACCTTGAATCAGTGTCTAAATATTCACAAATACCAACGATAAATTAAATAATGCATAGTTTCAACAATACAAACACTTTGAAATTTCACGGACCTTTACTGGAAAGCATAACTATTCTGTATAAACCCTGAGCAACCTACTGTAATAGAATTGTTTCATTCTTGTCATGCATTTTATTTTACAATCATAAAGTAAGACATTCAATATTTTTATATTTCAGAAGTCAATATGTTTATTTTTCAGAAAAACTAAAGTTTGTTAATTGGCCTGTGAAAAGCTCTGTAAGCGCCAAAGAAGGTGCCTCCTTGAGCCTGCCATGCGAGGCCAATTATCCAGACGATGAAAACAAAGCTCAGTACAGTTGGTCCTTGAATTGGTCACCCTTAAATTATGACAATAACATTGAATGGCGGGCAAGCGATTATGAGCTATTAATTAAATCTGCACAAGTAAAAGATTCTGGCATCTATACTTGCAATGTCTCAGCTATAAGCTTGGGATTGGGATGGGTTTCAATGGACATAAATATCACGATACATGGTAAGTAAGACTAGCTCCTGTATCTACTTTAACCTTCGTTTTTGCAAACGCGTTCGAAACTTCAGTGCAGCTCAAAAAATTTTTGCACGGTTTTTAAGTTCCCCTCATAGAGCAGTTTTGGTATGAATGTGAGAAATTCGATGCCCTATGCTTGCTTTACCGCGACCGTGATGTTTTTTGGAATTTTGATTGGGAGGATTTTTTTCTCTGAACTTTGATTGGATTGAGAGTAAATTCTCGTGCAATTTGACTGTGCTGGCGTATGCCTTGCCGTGCGCCGACCGTATTTGTGCTGTGAGCTTTAACTATTCTGCATAACTATTCTGCACAAAATCAAGGCTAACCCTGAGCAGCAGAGAACTCGAAACTGGAGTATTCTATATATCTATCGGATAGTTGACTGGAAAAACCTATAGATTTAAAAAACATGGCCAACTTTTTGAAGATAAATGATTTTCGTATCGAATTTTGTTTGTTTAATTATGACTGTTGATCATAATGCTATAAAACGTGAAGAGGAATCTGTGCTCTTGTTTCAGTGACATTTTCTGAGATAGCGAACATGGTGCATTGTGGTTATGGCTATTATTTGTTCATCATGCCATATATGGCGTTGTTTGTGCCCAAGCTAGACCATAATGCATCATGTTTATCGAACTCAGAAAAGGCCTTTGTACAGTTCAGTGCTGTTTCACGAATACATTCTGCATGAACGCTATTGAGCTTTAAATTGCTACCAATACCGTTAAAATAAAGCGAAAAATGTATTTAGTCAACCTCTAGCTGGACAACAAATACTGTCACAAAGAAAGAACAAAATGACACCTTTTAGATACATGTATTGACTTTTCATTTTGTTCCTTCAACTATTGTTTCATTTGCTGCTTTAAATAACTCAGTGCTTTTCATTCAGTTGGACCCAAAAGTCATTTTCCCGTACGTAAGAATGACATCACAATAAACTCTAAATACTGACAACCGTTTTTTCCGGTGTTTGATTTTAGCGGAAAGATTTTCCTTTACAGCATGGGGCGCATGGAGCGAATGTATATCCAATTCTGGATCTAACATAGGCAACCGGACTCGTTTTCGCACCTGTGTTACGTCATCAGAAATAGAGGCACCCGGTAGATGCAGCGGCAATTCAAAACAGGTTGAGGACTGCGACATCGAATTTTCYACTCCTATAATTCCTTTAAGCGCACCCGCTAATAGGAGCAAAGAAGAAGCCATGGTTGGAGTGAGAGAAACAACAGTTTCAACACCTACGAAATCTAAATTTTTGAATACTTTCTATGGGAAACTGGCTTTAGGAAGTTCAGTGGTAATAGTGGTCGTGATATTAGGCGGTGCTGTCTTTGTTCTCATGTAAGTAACACTTTAACTGGGTCCCAGGTAGTTTGCTCTTTTTCCTTGCGTCATTTCCGGTTTTAGGTGTTGGCTGACAAGATCTTGTCATGCAGTGCGTTTTTACATACAGTTCCTTATAAAATATTCAATTATATATTTCATGCCATTTCTCGTGTGTCACACGTTATGAGCTGAAATTTTGCCTCTGCTCATATACCGAAGTGCTCTTTTTATTTCTTGTTTGCAGGACTGCTCGTTTAAGGGGTATCGCGGCTCTTGACCTGATAGTGGAAATGGCCTATTCTAATTGGATAAACCGTCATCTTGTCGTAACCTGATGATTTCGCCACTGCTGTGTTGCGCGTATACTAGGAATGTCTCATTTGTTTAAACTTATTTTTTCTCTTTGACTTGTTTACAGATGGCAACACCACCTAAACTCTACGAGCAACAAAGTTGTCCCTATTAAATATTTATCCATGTAACTCGCACAAATCTTAACCTGATATTTACATACCCCAATGTGTTTACTCAGAATCTCCTGGTCTCTCAGTAGAGAATGGGACATATCTGTCATCGAGGAAGATGGACAAATCCCATAGTCCTAATTCCAGGCTCGATAACCAATTGACCTCGTTCATAGTCTTTATTTCAAAATTTGGAGTTTTTGGCTGTGGCATTTGATAAGCCTTTCTGCAGGCATGCTTCGCGATGCTTTGCGTGGATGTTTGAGTGGACGCTTTAAGACATGGCGATTTGTGGCCATCTGTTTATTGATGTATTTATTTATTATGCTTCCAACAAACTGTTGAAGAGAACTAGAGAGGTAATACCACCTATAGGATAGTCTCCCAATGAAATTACAAAATATATAGAGTGCAAGCCATATATCCGTGAAATAGTACTAACTATTTAGTACAAAATTGCACCAATGAAACAATAGACCCTTTTCGAGTTCCAAATTACCGGTGTGTTTCTTGATTACAGACTCATTTGCTCAGGCTTAGCCTCGAATGAGTGCCTAAATATTCACAAATACCGACGGTAAAGTAAAGAATACACAACTTCAACAATACGAACACTTTAGAACTTGACGGACCCTTGACTGGAACACGTGAATATTCTTCACAAAATCGAGGCTAGGCCTGAGTAAATGAGTCTGTAATCAAGAAACACAGCGGTAATTTGGAACTCGAAAAGGGTCTATTGAAAACAAGAAATGGATGTGTTTAGTGCCACCTATAGGATAGTCTCCCAATAAAATTACAAAATATATAGAGTGCAAGCCATATATCCATGAAATAGTACTAACTAATTATTACAAAATTGCACCAATGAAACAATCGAAAACAAAAGAAATGGATGTGTTTAGTGCTATTTATTTTCAATTTTGTGCTATTTCACGGATATAGACCCCTTGCATGTGACGTCAAAGCAGCTCGATCTGGGTGACAAAACAAAAGAATTCCAATCTCCTGAGAATTGTCAGTCCCCCAGCTTGAGCAGTACTCCTTTCTCTCTTTATATACACATATTTATAAAATATTTGAAATATAACGCGAGCGCTGATTGGCTTGTTACTGTGTTTATATAAGAGAACAGAAACACGCGCGCAAAATCGTTAAAAAACCTTTTATAAAAGCAATACGATGTCTCTGTACTGTGATTTAACCACTCTGGGAGCTGTAGAGCACCCGAGAAGCAAGAGAAACACTCGGTAACGCAAAGTGTTCCTAATCTTGCTTCTCTCATGCTCTACAGCTCCCAGCGTGTTCATATCACAGTAAAGAGAAATGCGCACACGTCTCGTATTCCTTATATAATTTCAACAAAACATTTAATAACAAGTATTGTTGGTAAAGGAAGATCCAATAAATGACTAAATAAATGATAACATGATAACTAAACCCTGCAGTTAGAGCACCGGCATTTGTCTACAAAGAACAGGTGTTCGAGGTATCTCCATCAAGGGTGAACAAAAATTTGTCATGAAAATGGCTAGTAAACGTTTGAAAGATGATGGTGAGATAGACTGCCTGAGCTTGGCAGGTAAATTAACGTTCGTACACCTGTAATTGGTGTATTTTCATCTGCTTCTATCGTGATGATGTTTATATCTAGCAATGTATAATAGACCTCTTCGGCTTGGGGTAATGTTTTCCCATTTCAGACCACGTGTCATTCCCTTGAGAATATGATTCTTTGTTTGAGCTGTATCCATGTTCATGCGTCTACTCTGGTGCACGTGCAACCGAGCGCAAACCTTAAACAAAGAAATGATACTCTAGGGAATGACATGTGGTCTGAAATGGGAAAAGATTATATGTCAGAGCCGAAGAGGTCTATTAGAGTGCATGCCATATGTCAGTGAAAAACTTTGTAAGAAATCGCACAAATTTAGTTACTAAACTTTGCACTAATTCGTACAATTTTGTTATATGGTATGCACTCTATTATCTCTTTGGTTTTCTATTATTATAAGTATACTCCTATTTCAAAAAAAACCGCGAGATCTGAGATCTGAAAGATGAGACCGAGTAGCACGCTACAAAATGTAATATATTCACAGCCAAACAACGTAGATTGCTTCTAGATTGAAATATAAAGCATTAACTCTGAGTTAGATAGAGATGTGATTTTTCGTATTTTATCAAAAAAGAATAATAATAAAAAACAAAACAAAAACAAAAAAACATAAAATAATTGAAGTTCAACGATTCAGTTTAGTCTCTGATTGCCCATTTAAAATCTCCGATAAACGTTTTTTGGTAGGTGTATCTTATTTTGACCCCCACTGTATTTCAGTTTACCTGCAAATGTGGTAAAATAAACTATCATCATTATCATTATTATTATTATTTTATTATTATTATTATTATTTACTTTTATTTATTTATGATACGGAACCGTGATCAAAAATTCCTTCCATGATTCAACCATGTCGTGTTTCGTGCGGCGAATACAACGTAACAGCAGTTTTATCCCTTGTTTATATATAGTCATGCAAAGAATTATCCGACGTTAATTCATATAACAATTAGAATTATGGTGCAGTAATCCTGGTAAAAAATTGTTAATATTGCTGCATTACAGCTTTCACAACGAATATACAATGCTCGTATTGGGCACGCGAAATTCTCTTTATTGCTGCAAATTTTGCGAAATAGAAAATTTCTTTTCCCTTCGCAGCAAATCAAATTTGATGTATTACTAATAATAGTGGTAATACGAGCAACTGAATATCGCAAAATTGTAATGGGACATGTTGCAGAACTTTGTTGCTGGCATTAAAATTACACATGGGAAAGTACACGTGCTGGAACTAGGCTTAGTTCCCCTAATTACGTCACACATGCGCACGGTCAATTTAAACTGATTGTTTAATGACCTCATTTATTAAGTGACAAATTAGACCGTCGAAGTGTTCAAGTTTCGAAATAGAATCCCAGAAATGTGATAATGTAGGGAAAGTCCACAGCAAAACCCGAGACTCGTAAATGGGCATGCATCACAGAAACGTGATTGCATTGGCTGCCATTTTTTGCTGTCTTCTCAATAATTCTTATGGATTGTCCTCGGAAGGTATGTATGTAGTTTATGGTTATGAGCTATCGATGTGCTCGCGCGGTCGAGTGTTGATCTCTTGTGTTCTAAATGTTTCTCAATTTATTCCTTTGTCTTTAATATTTTATTCTCTTCTTTTTCTCTTTTTTTCCTCTCGTCTTTCGCATCCTTTCTGCGCATAGAAATTCGAATATTATAATTTGCAAAATATCTAGAAAACAAATTTTTCACTTCAAACCCTTATAGCTCCTTAAATGTTATAGCTCTAAAGTCGGTGAATCCCCTTTTTAATTTGCTTTTAAAAGTATTTTTATGAATGCCTAAATTAACATGAAAAATAAAACAAGAAACAAAATTTTTGACGATAGGATAACACCGAAAACACAATTTGTGCATAATTGGAATGGAAATTCACGTTACATGAAGATTTCAAGTCTACACTTGTAGCTAAATAACATTTCATATTTCTATAACTTTCAACATAAAGTTTAAATGCTAAGCAGTCATTGTGTCATTTTCTAATTCTCGAGTTCTGTGAAAAACATGCCAAACTATCAACATATTTCTTATCTTATTTAATTTAATTAATTTTCTCAATTTCACTACTCTGAGCTAGCAGGAGAAGAACTCAGGTGCGAAGCACATATAAAAAAAACATTTGTGAGAGGCGAGAGAACTTGACGCTACGCTATCTGTGCTTCACTTAGCTTTTTTATGATGTTTCCAAGTACGTTGCAAGGAAAAATTCAAGCAAGCAATATTTCGTCTTTCTTTTCTTTTTGTAGATGATTTACTGGCCAACAAATGCCCTTCCTCTGTGGTGCTTCCTACCCATGGTTCTTCAAGAAGTGTTATCTGGACACCGCCATATGCTCACAATAGAACTGGCATCCTAAAACACATCCAAGTTCATCCAAAGGACGCTCGACCGCCTTTTGAGGCTACTAAAGGAGTAACTCACATCAAATACACACTTACACTTGAGAATGGAGAAGAAACGTCCTGCTCATTTAATATTACAGTCTTTGGTAAGGTTTAAACTGGAGTTATAGTAACTTTATATAGTATATTTGAGCTTTTTAGGGTTGTTTTTGTTAGCTTTTCCCTTCTTTCTTTTCTCTCTCCTCTCTGATCCTATTTTATCCCACACCAACGTTATTTTCGCTGATCTTCTTTTGGTTGTTTTTGTTGTTGTGCTTTAAATTTTTAAAATGCTTAACCAATTGAGCCAACCAGGTTTCTTATTTTATTTTTTAGAAGGAATAAAGATTGTCAAGAAGCCATTGAGCCAATATGATGTCCAAGAGGGTAGCATTTTCCCTCTGCCATGCAAAGCCGATTCACCGGATGGGGACCCTATTTCATATAAATGGTTACTCAATGATGCACTATTAACGTACGATAGTCACAGGGAATGGAAAGCACACATCCATGAGCTACAGCTTCGAAATCTAAAAACGATACACTCTGGTAAATATACATGTGTGGCGTATACCACTGGAGAAAGGATATCGGAAGCTTCAGTAAGCACAAACATCAATATAAAGGGTAAGACCATACTACCTTGTAGTATACATATATACATTCATACAAATACCTAATGAGATGCATATTGCAATTTTACTTTTTTAACCCTCAAAACCAATTGATTTATAATCTGTAGGATGTGAAACACAAGAATAAAATATTTTGACGTTCATTGAATGAAACAAATAATAAATAAAGCGAATAATAAAGAATAATTCCCATTTTCTCGCCAATATACACGCGAACGCGTTATGCGCGTTTCTCTTCATATCTTAAGGAATCCCTCAAGTGTGAATAAGTTTCGCCGCCGAGATTCGAAGTGTGAAACAGTAACTTATCATATCCAAAGAAAAGCTATTAACTACGACCATTACTCGACTCTGTTGCATTGTTTCATCATCGTCATGCAATTTATTTTATAATCATAAAGTAAGAAGAAACTCAATATTTCTATATTTCCGAAATCACTATATATTTATTTTTCAGAAAAACTAAAGATTGTCAATTGGCCGGTAAATACAACCCTAAAAGTCATGGAAGGTTCCTCCTTGAGTCTACCATGCAAGGCCAATTATCCAGACGACGACGGCAAAGTTAAGTACAGTTGGTCCTTCAATTGGGAAGAAATAGATTATGACAATCGCATTGAATGGCGGGCAAGCGATTATGAGCTATTAATTAAATCTGCACAAGTAAAAGATTCTGGCATCTATTCATGTTATGTCACAGCCTATAGCTTGGGTTTYGGCGCGGTTTATAAGGACATTGACATCACGATATATGGTAAGAAAGACTATTTCTCTGCATAACGTCTCACACACCCATTCAGTCCCAATCAGTTACCTAGTTATTTAAAAACATTTAGTGTCAGTTTA